GGGTTTTCCAAGCCTGAATGCCGCTTTTACTCTGATCGATGCCGCTGGTTCCACCACGTCGCCATCAAACAAGGTTACCATGTGCGACCTCAGCAGCTGCAGGTCGTGGTCCAGGCAAGCCTGGGCAGTGATGGCCTCGGCCTTCGGAAGATTGATAACAATAAAGCACTGAGATTTCGGAGGGAGCTTCCTCTGTTGCATAGGTTCCTGCAAATCACTGGGGCACCTCTCAACTGTCCGTGACATGTTACACGCACCGTGCCTGGATGTCGTGAACGAGGGAGTCGAGTCTGTCCGTGAAGGCGATGCAGCAGACGATATCCCTGCCCCTTTTTTGAGAGGAGCAGCAGAGGCTGCTTTTTTAATTGGAGTGGAAATGACATCTGCACACGAAGGAGTAACTTTTACAACAGTGGCCTGCGTTATGGGGGTTAGAGAGATTTTTGGCAGCGGCGAGCTGGCAGGCAGAGCTGTTATCTTTAAAGAAGCAGATAATGGAGGCCACTGGGTGTGTGGGTTCCGAGGTAGCAGGTGCTTCTACTGTTGATTTATTCTTCGCGTTCAGTTCAGCCGTGTGCGTCCCCTGCCGTGGGGTGACCACTTGTGTCTGGCATTTTGGTCGTTTTCTGGGTTTTCGGATCGGGCTAGCTGATGCGATTCGTGAACTTAAGTCTGATATTTTTGCCTCAAGTGTGGCGATTTTTGAATTCGCTCTTATTTCGGCTTCCGACAAAAGCTTCTCGTACTTGTGTGTGATACAAGTGATGCATGTTACAATCGGGATTTCCGCACATTCTGTACAGAACCATGTACGTTCTGGCTGAATGGCTAACTGTTTTGCCTGTTTTACCAAGAGTTTGGCACATGAAAGTCGAACGTGTTTTAGGCAGTTTGTGCAAAATATCCCCGTTTTAACTTCTTTTCTACAACTCCGTAGGCCGCATACTTCCGTTACCGTCGAAACACTTGATGCGGCACTTGTTGACACTATGCAACATTCAATTTTTCACCTTATCGAGCGGGGAGACTGACGAAATATGAAAAACGGTCATGTGAAAAGAGAGAAGTTTTCTTGGTCGTCCGCTCGTCCGCTCGTCAGGATCAGTGGAGGTCACAAGCACACTGAACAATGACAAAGGTCATTTTGGGAATATCGATCGGCTTTTCTGGTGGCAGTGGAACAGACACAAGTGCGACTGCGAGTGGCAGCTATGATTGCACTAAACTGCATAAATAGGTCCGTAGAATGCTTGAAATTAAACTTAGAAAGCTCAATCACGGTTCGTTAGAAAGTTTATTAAATTTCCTATCGGGCGATATCACAATGTTGACACAGCGAATAAAATTGTACAATTTCACACGCGTGAATAAATCCCCAAGCTTCCATGATAACAGAAAAACTGCTCAATGGAGAGATATGAGTAATTTACTTCCAACAGAATGATATCACAAGATAGAGCTCACAGAAAAGGATCAAATGAACGCAGACTCGACAATGTACGAAGAAAGTTTGCAGAGAGATTCCGATCAAACCGAGAGCGCACAATTTGATCGACTGCACGTCAACACAAGGATATCAGGTTACTCGTTTTTAGCCGTTTATTGTTAGTTTTTAGGTTTATTTTATTGTCTGTCATATCCCACTATTAAGTTTCTTGTTCATTACCGTAGTTTTAAAATTGTGCTTTGTTAGTTGTTCATACATCGGTTTTATGTCCACTATTACTACCGTAGCTAGCGCCTGACCTGATCTAACGATCTAACCTAACCCTTTCTTGACATTTGGACTGCGGTATAACAAGTTATCGCTACTACAGTAGCAATTATAATCTTGCTGAAAAACCTTCTTAAATCTCTTTCTCCTCGCTCTAGTAGCATACCTCGACACCCTGTGGATCGTCCAAAGACTGGAGCTGGCAGAGGAGTACCCAAAACTAGTCTGTCTACAAATCCCCTCAACAATTGCTCCGTTCCCCTAGTTGATGTGCTCAGTGATGCTGTCAGATTAACCTCCGAGATTGCTAGCACTATTAAAAACCTCAACAGTAGGCTTGAGTCACTAGAACTGGTCAGCTCGACCCTAGCCCCACTGGTTTTCCCCATGGACCCCTCGTCACAACCAATGAGCACCCTGCCCAATCGATGCCATTGCCTCTGAAATTCTTAAGCGCGTTTTGAACTCAAAAAACGCAGTTGTGTTCAACGTACCCTACAAAATTCCCCTAGCTCAGATTAAGGAAATAATCTTGAAAGCTTCAAACATGGACCGTTACCCATGCAACTGTATCCGGCTCCGGAAAAGATACCAAAGGCACTCCTGCCCCCTTCTTTTCCAATTCCATAGTGAACTGTTGGCCAAAGAGTTCATTTCTAAACGAAATGATTTTGCAAGAAATACCACATTCAAAGTCATACAAATTTATTCTGATAGTACCCCGCTCCAAAGGGCTACTCGGAATACGACCCAAGGAAACCTTCAAATGCACAACCCCTCTGCACTAGCCAATGCCAGTCCAACCCAAAATAGCGTACCTGTACCTCATGACACCCGTAGACCGACAACCCCAATTATCGATCTTGGTACTCTTCAGTCGCCCTCTCCTAAACCTCCACCACCCAAACGTCCAAACCATTCACGCCTTAGCCCTGAAACCCCTGTCCGCTGCAATTGGCCAGTGTCTCACATCTTAATGGTAAAAAGTGCCCGTCCTCAAGTGAAGAAGGCTTCCAGCCTGACTGGTTTACCACATCAAACCTCCGTTTCGGTCCCAAAGAAGCCCTCTAGCACAAATGGATCTCCACAGTCCCAGTTACCGCTCGCTATTTTATCGCCCCGCCGTGGTGCTAAGCACATTCCTAAACCCTCATTACCTGTCCGTATTCCCTCTTTGATTGCACCTAACTTTGTCGTCAGACCTTCCGCCAACTCTGCTTATAATAACCGCCTACGGACGATACCCGCACCTCGTCCTACTTACATAGGCTAAACCAGGACCACCCCTCGCTTGGAAAATACTATACCCATTTTGCCTCACCTTACCTCCCAACGTCTGCTACAAATGCGTATTGCTTACCCTATCGCCGCAGCTGTGCGCCAAATTTGACCCCCTCACCCTCTCCCATGGACTTACTCAAGCTCACCTACATATTTGACCCCGTCCTGTCCCTAGTCGTTCTATGGCATCACCAGGCTAAAACCTTACTCTCCCCTATCCCCCGGATCAACACCAGATTATACCACCAATTCTAAGGTATGCTTATTACCCACAAATACTCCGATACTCCCCTGTACCTCTTCAGCAGCCTGTCCCAGGATACAATCCGTCCTTTCCCCCAACAGTAACCCCTCATCTACGCTTCTCAGCTCCTANCCCTTCTCAGAGAATTCCATCCAGATAGCTATGACAAGCCCCATTCCTCTGTACACCCCATCCGGGATGGATCCGTTGCTTCTTCCCACGTTCCTTACTGACGTATGAAATCACAAGACGTAAATATACACCCCATACTCCCCACCCCGAAACGTCCCTGCTCTCCCACTGTTTCCCACCACCACCCTCCCACTGTGTCACTAATTTATGTTCATAGCCTCAGTGTTTCAGCTGTATTAGCCCATAAACCTCCACCCCTCCTACCCTCCTCTTTACACATTAATCTCAACGCGCGTCAATCTCATACCTCCCCTAAGGATGTCATAACCCCCTGTCTAAATATAATCGCTTCTACCACATCATCCTTCGGTAATCTACATTCGACTGATGGCCATTACAGAATTTCCCTTCTTCTTTTGAATATTCGTTCCATCATGAATAAGTTTTACTCCCTCAGAATATTGTTTTTGCTTCTAGCCCTGACCTGATATTCGTCATTGAATCTTGGCTCCCTGAATACACCTCATCTGAGCATATATCATTATCTGGTTACCACTTATTTAGGAAAAGCAGAAGCCGCCGTGGTGGGGGTTGCTCAGTATATACAAAAAGTCACTTCCGCCCAACCCCTCATGATCACCCCTTACTAAACTCTATTGAGGATTCTATTTGGTTAAGATTGCAACTACCAAGCACTTACCTCCAAATAGGATGCCTATATAGACCACCCGGTACTTCTGCGTCAGAATTTCTGTCCATTTTGACGCATTTAATTACCTAGCTCCATTGCCCAGGTGTTCCAAACTAATCGCTGGTGACTTCAATGCACACATCATTGACCGGAACACCCTCAGCTCTCCCTCTCACCTTACTGATTTCATCTCATGCATTCGCAATGGTTACTGAGCTCAACAGGTTTCATCCCCTACTA